TTGCCATTGAGTCAATTCTGACTCATAGTGACCCTATAGGACAGAGTAGAACTGCCCCATAAGATTCCCAAGGAGCAGCTGGTAGATTCGAACTGCTGACCTTTTGGCTAGCCTGAGCTCTTACCCACTGTGCCACCAGGGCTCCAAATGTGTACAAGGACACACACACAAAAAAAAACTCAAATGGATTAGTGTCTTGGTAGCCACTATGGGTGTACACAAATATTTGGTTCTCTCTGTCCTTCCAGGTAGATGGCAAGATTTTACTTCCCCATCCTTTAAACGCAGACATAGCCATAGAACTTACTTAGGATAACCTGAGCAGAAGCTTTAAAAGCCAAGGCATGCTGTACCATACTCTCTTTGCCCTCTGCCATGGGCAACTGGCAATATTCCAGATTGTGGCTACTCCAACAACTTGGTTTCTGGGGTAAGGACAATGACCAACTCTCAGTGAGCATGTAGCATGAGCAAGAAATAAACCTTTATTATTTTAAGCCACTGAGATTTAGCAGTTGTTTGTTACTTGGCCTAATCCGGTCGGTCTGACTGATACAATATACCTACTAATTTGACTTAGAAATTTCAGAATTTACAGATGGAATCAGAGTTTAGAATTGAAAGGCTAAAACAAAGAGTTGATATTTCAAGAACTTATTCTACATAAAGTCACCTTCAAGAATTGTAAGTGCCGAGAAATGATGAAGCATAGCAGCAATGAGCTAACAGCCACCCTTCAATTCATTTAATACAGCATTATGCTTAAGAGTGTGGACTCAATGATAGAAAAATGGACCAAGGATAATAATGGAAGGTCACTGCAAACAAATATACAAGGCTCTTAAATATATGAATTATTCTCAGCTTACTGAATTGGTCAAGGTCAAGTGAGACTATGCTGCCATAAGAACTAATGCAACTAACACAGTAACTTAACACAATAAAGTCTTAGTTCGGACTCATGTAGTCTCTTGGGGTTGGGCAGCTCTATTCCATCCTGTAGCTGCGATATAAGGAGCATTGGCCTCCAGAGTTGTTGGCAGTGTGGAAGCATAAACCTGTTGCCATCGAGTCGATTCCAACTCATAGCAACCCCACGTGACAGAATAGAACTGCCGCATAGAGTATCCAAGACTGTCAATCTTTATAGAAGCTGACTGCCACATCTTTCTCCCACGGAGTGGCTGGTGGTTTGAACCACCGACCTTTCGGTTAGTAGCAAAACTACCACTGCGCCATCAGGGCTTCTACTGGAGGACGCATACGACTCTTAATTGCCTTGGAGGAGAGTAACATATCACCTCTGCTCCCATTTCATTGGCAAGAATAAGTCATGCCACCCCTACCTAAACGTATACCAAAAAGCCAAACCCACTGCCGTCAAGTTGATTCTGACTCATAGCGACCCTATAGGACAGAGTAGAACTGTCGCATATGACTTCCAAGGGTGTAACTCTTTACTGAAGCACACTGCCACATCTTTCTCCCACGGAGCAGCTGGTGTGTTTGAACTGCTGACCTTTTGATCAGCAGCAGAGCACTTAACCACTGCACCACCAGGGCTCCTCCCTAAATGTATAAGGGAACAGAAAAACATAGTTTAACTCTTGTGTTCAGGAAAAAAAAAAAGCCAGGGTATGCACATAGCTTTGTTTCTGCCACACTCAGATGTGTAAAACAAAACCAGATAGCAATATAATCTTTCCCTATCAGATTGGCAGAGATCAAAAAATTTGATAATGTGTTGGCAAGATTGTGGATAACTAAGTCCCTTCATACATTGATTGTAGGAGTGTAAATTGGTGCAACCTCTATGGAAGACAATTTGGCAAAATTAAAATTGAAAGAAATTGATTAAAATCACAGTTAATATACATACAAGTTTTAACCCTGCCATCTACTTATAGGAATTATCCTACAGAGGAATTTATCCTACAGATAAACTGTTGTTATTGTTCTGTACGGTCAAGTCAACTCCAATTCATGGCAACCCTATAGGACTGACTAGAGCTGTCCCATAGGTTTTCTAGGTAGATCGCCAGATCTTTTCTCCCTCAAGGAGGCTGGTGAGTTCCAACCACCAACCTTCCAGTTAGCAGCTAGCACTTAACCATTTTGCCACCAGGGTTCTTTACAGGTAAACTAAGACATATGCAATTTTTTTTTTCCTTCTGTAGCAGCAACAGATTGGAAAAAAACCTTAATATTCTCCAATAGGGGCTACATTAAACAAATTATGGTACAACCATACAGTGGAATCCCACGCAGTAAAAAAAAAGAACGTGGAAGCTCTTCATGACTGATATAGAGGTAGCTCTAAGATATATCATTAAGTAAAAAAATTAACAATGTGTATAATATGCTACTATTTGGGTAAAAAAAAACAGGAAAAATATATATCTATGTTTGTAAATTCATAAAAACAGCTCCTGACAAAAATCCAAGAAACTGATCACATTGATTGCCTCCTGGGAGGGGAGCTCGGTAACGGGGAGACTTTTTACTGCAGATCCTATTGTACCTTTTGAATTTTGAACCATGTTAATATGTTATCTAATCAAAAATTTAAGTTTATAGTGTCATAAAATAACATGTGTACTTCTGTTTCATGAGAAACTATTTGTTCTGTAAGCCTTCACCTGAAGTACAATTAAAAAAAAAAAATGTACACGGCAGTGTTATTTTAATACCCTAAAACTTGTAGCAATCCAAATGTCCACCAACAGGAGAATGGATAAATAAAATGTGGTTTGCTTCTATAAAAAAAAAAAATTTAAGTTTATAGCAATGATTTGAAATCACACTGCCACCCACTGTGACCTTAAGTTGCTTCAGATGCTCACTGGGCCTCAGTTTCCTCGTTGGCAAAAAGGAGTTATTAACGGTACCTATACCTTGTATAAGGAGCTCTTGTGGCACAAAGGTTAAGCACTTGGCTGCTAACCCAAAGTCTGGTGGTTGGAACCCACGTAGTGGGTCTGTGGAAGAAAGATGTGGCAATCTGCTTCTGTAAAGATTACAGCTAAGACGACCCTATGGGGCAGTTCCATTCTGTCACATGGGGTTGCTATGAGTCAAAAAGAGACTTGATGGCACCTATCAATAACAACAACAGCGGAGCCCTGGTGGCACAGTGGTTAAGAGCTCAGCTACTAACCAAAAGTTCGGCAGTTCAAATCTACCAGTCACTCCCTGGAAACCCTCTGGGACACTTCTACTCTGTCCTGTAGGGGTGTTATGAGTTGGAATTGACTCAGTGGCAATGGGTTTGGTTTTGGTTGGTTTAACACTGCACCTTGTGTGATTATGAGAAACTAATTTGTTATTTCTAAAGAAAATCTGAATCAATTTTGATGTGTTTGAATTACATACTGATATAGAGATACTAAAACAAATGAGAATGGCTTGTGGGTGGTCAGGGAAAGCCTCTCTAATAAGGTTACATTTGATATCTATGTAGAATTTTATTTTCCTGTCACAGAGAACAGCAAGCACAAAGGCACTAGGGAAAAAGTGCATGTCTTATTTGAGGAACAGCAAGGAGGCTGATATGGGATTGATTGAGGACAGCAGTAGAACATGAAGTCTCACAGTGAAGGGTGGGAAGATCTTGGAGGCTATTATGAGGATTTTGGTTTCCAGCATAGGAGTGACATGACGGACTCAGTGGGATCTGTCTAGCTGCTGGGTGGCAACAAGATGTAGCACAGCAAGGACAGGAGCCAGCCCTTCTTGGAGATAGGTGAACCTTCAGCCTAAATCCTCCCCACTTCTTCCCAAATTAAGCTTCTGAAATAGTTTTCGGAAAAAAATTTTTTTTGAGTTTTTCTAACTTGTGCAATGACCAAAGAATTGAGAAGAGCTGAAAGACTCTTATCTTCACTCACATTACATTGTTTCTGCCATCAAGTTTTGGTATCTTTTTGCAGGTTAGGGTAAAAGCGCGTTAAGTACTTAGATGACAAAAGATAACAAGGTCCATTTGCTTTAGTTTAATAGACATTTATTCCTTTAGATGAACAACCTCTACACACAATCAGAATGTATAGTTTTAAGATTTTTTTTTGTTTTTTGAGTAGAAGGGAACTCAGAAATCAAGAAGTTTTATATACGAAGACTGCTACAAATGTCTTCTGGCAATCATGTAACTGAGCCTTTTGAGGCCCCAAAAGAAAATACCAGGACGTTGGTTCAGGGAAACCAGCCATCACATTATGAAATCAAATTACCTATTAAGTCAGCAAACTCTGAATTTGAAAGAATTGGGGCAATTCCTCTTCTGTATTTCCTACACACTCAAATTCATCCCGGGGAAAAGCAGCCCAGTCTAGATGTGATGCAAAACAATAAACTCACGAAAACGTTGTGGCATGCTTAAAACGTGGACACCATCGACGGACTAGCAAGTACGTGGAATGGTTAAGGATCTTGAAGGTAGTCCGACCAGGGACGAGTAAACTGCAAAACACTTACGGTCAGGCTGGAAACCAAATCCTCTACTGACACCAAGCTAACTTTCCTCAGTAGCCTTAAGGGAGTGGATGGATAGTGGGGAAACCAATGACATACTTTTAGACAATCATACTTTTTCCCTAAGAAGGCTAGAGGCTTCATAATGGTCACAAATAAACTTCACAAAGTATTTTAAAACTTTGATTAAAGGTTTTAAGTTTGTCCTCACACATCTGAAAGGTATTTATCTCATGGCCCCAACTGTCTTCCCACCCTAGCATTACTAGCTCGCAAATCTCAAGGTTAAGATAACTCCCTCGCTTGTGGACCTCATGTTCAATTTGCATCAACTTTGATAGAGCACACCAGTCTAAACACCACTGGTAACAACTCTGCATCAAATTCCGGATTCTACACATCCCAGAAATGGAGGCATGCGATTTAACATGCTTTTGCCTTTTATGTGAATTTAAATGATACTGTGGACACCAAGGAAATCGCTTCAGTTGTTAACCCAGATTTGTTTCATTCGTAAAAGAATCCTCTTGCAACATTTATTCTTCTAAAAACGGTGGCACTTATAACATTTTTTCCTTTCAGAACCTGTGGTTACATGAATACTGAATTAAATATAAAAATGTGGACTCTAGTTGATCTTCATAACTTTTCTGCATACGATCGTGACAAAAGGTTAGGACAGTACCCCTTCCATCTTACAAACTTCCAAGCAAAATCCCACTTAAAGGTGATCCTAATTTACCCTCATCAAACTCCAAAAAAAACCACCCAGCCACTTAAGGTTAAAACAGCAGAGCACTGCATCACCCCAATAAAGTTGTAGGTTTTAGCACATGCACCAAAGTCTACAGAAAGAGCTAATCTCAGCGCTCCTCTTTTAAAGAATTTGACATCTATTATACCACACATCATCTTAAACATTGACATACAACTGCCTACTGAGATAAAGCAAAGACAAAAGTGTCTACCTTATTAGAAACAAGATACACCGTCACTTCTTGTCTTCAAACATTATTGCACTTTCACTTTTGTAATTCGACAATGCATTCGTGAAACAATCTGCAAACAACTACTGTTTTAACAGACAAAGAACACTTTTAAGTAGACGTAACTGTCCTAAATTGTTTATTAGGTATGAATTTTACAAACATGACTCATATTAGCGGTAACGGTGGAGCTGGAGAGTATTGCGCCTTCTCCAAGCAGCACGGCGAGAGCCACCAATAGTGTGGTGGAACTTGTGGCCCTTCCCGAGGCCACGGCTCTTGCGGCCTGCAGATGTCAGCCCACGCATCTCCCTGTGCTTGTGGACTGGCTTAGTGATCCACTGGGTGTCAGGGTTTCTTCGGATAGCTTTGTGGAATGGATCAATGAGGATCACTTCAAAGAATTTGTACGTGGAATCTTCACCAACCCAGTAAGAATTCAGGACCCTCAGGGCCCCACAGTGGCGTCCAGCTCGCTCCTGGAACAGGAAAAAAGGTTCAAAGTCAGCCTTCCATGTTTTCCGTAATAGCAAATTAACTCTAGTTCACCACTAGACAAGAGACTGAGGCTTGGCTATTCAGCCCAGAGGCTGGCAGCATAAGCAGGGTAAGGGAGACTTGCTACATAAACACCCTTAGATTGATGTGATGCACACTATTCCTTCTAATTATTACTTCCTCAAGTAGGGCACGGACATGTAAGAATACTAGGCTAAGAAAATTCAGGATTCTGGAACCCTCTTTTTTTCTTAGAGGCGGACTAACTTTTTAGGTTTTACAGGGTACCTCTGATCTCATTTGCTTATTTTACTTGCCTGTAAAAAAGGCAATCCATTAAAAAGATCAAAACCATTCTTGGTTAGTGGAAGCCCACAAGCTAACTCTTACAATACAGCATAATTTACTAACCAAGAAGAAACACCAACAACATGAACGCAGTTTCAGTACATTGTAGGAGATGTGTTCTTCAAAACATAGGTTCTTGCCCTTCAAAAGCTTAGGCTCCACAGATGCTTATCAATCAAAAAACACACATTCTGACATATACACGACAACACAGACAGATTAGTAACCAAGACAGACAAAGGCTTCATGCACTGACAGCAAACGCTCTTTACCAAGATTAGTAAAGCTCCACAAAGGGCTCACCGAGGCACAAGTGAACAACGACAAGGTGCCCACATTCTTCTCCCCCACCATCGCCAGGAGGTGACCGATATAACTGCTACTCAAAACAAAAACCACTTACCTCAGCCACAGACTGAAGGCTTCTGGCAAACTTCAGCTGGTTAACACCATGATTGACGGGCTTGCCATAGGTTGCACCTTTCGGCACTGGGCGTTTGCGGCCACCCCGGCGCACGCGGACCCGATAGATGACATAACCTACACAAAGATTACAATGGTTTTATGGAAAGCCAGCAGGGCGAAGACTCAAGGTCTTAATTCTCCAACAATAAATAAGATTTCAGGTCATAAACTAACATTATGTAGCTGATGGAAATAAAACGATCCAATATTAGGTTAGAGTCACTTTAAAAAGAACACATTCCAGTGTTTTTCGAAGTACTTTACATTACTGAACTGGATATCGACAATCACACAAAAAGGCAGACTACCTTCTCATTCCCAATGCTCTGTTCTGCTGCTTTTAATCCAGACTCACAGATTTGTACACTATGACACCCCTGCTACATTAGACGATCGTGCAGTAATTGTCTAGTAAACAAATTCTGTGCATTTCTACTAAAAGGACAATGTCTGCCAAAGCCTTTTGGAAGGAAGCCAGAGCCTCATCCTAATCCTCAATTTCTCGCCTTCCCCAGGGTATATAATTTTATCCAAGCATCCAGGCAAAGAAACCACGCACCTTGCTTGGCCTTGTATCCCAGTCTGCGCGCCTTATCCGGCCTGGTGGGGCGGGGAGCCCTGTGCAGCGCAGAGAGCTGGCGGTACTGCCAGCAGCGGACTCGCAGAAGAAAGCGCATCACATCGGACTGCTTCTTCCGCCATAGCTCCTGGATGTACTTGTAAGCACCCATCCTGGCTCACCTCTGCGGCAAAACCGGGTATTAAAAACCATCCGTTTAAGGCATAAAGGGAAGACCCTGTCCGTCCATCTTAGTTTTTCACCAACAAGGAAACCAGCGGGGATGAAAATGGCTCTGCACGAACCGCAGGGAGCAGCTAGCCCAACCCCCACCCACCTCTACACCTAGCGCTGAGCAGCAACAGGGCGCAGGGAGGCGCTTGGAGCATTTCTATTGGACGAATGAATGGAGCTTGGGCCATGAGGGGCGGGTGACTGCGGCATGCGGCGTCCCCAGGGCCCGGCCTGTAGGGAGACCTCAACGGTACTATTATAGCAGAAGACGCCACGCCGCCAGAGATTAACTCTCCAGGAAAAAGCACTTACCTTACCCCACCCCCACCCGCCGGCCTCGCTTCAAGGCGCTTCAGGCCCAGCCTGCCGTCCCCCAGCTCCACGCCTTCCTTTCCTTCATGCTCCGGGCCCAGCTCGAATTCGCGCCGCCATCACATCTTCCCCCAGCCCACCCTTCCACTCCCGCGCTGCCCCGCATCCTGATCGAACTCGCGCTGCACACAAGGAAGGACGGGCTCCAAGGACACAGGGTCCTCGAACCTGGATGGCTGAGGCAAAAGGTGATCAGCGGCGGATAGAGAAGCCAAAGCTCCCAACACAGCCTACCTGATGGCTGCCGCCAGACAGAAAGGAAGAACCCTTTCTCCCACAATCCCCTTTGGGCTCCTCCCCCAAACCTGGGACCCTTTTTCCGGTGGAAAGCTGCGGCCGCCCAGAGCTTCATGGGACATGTAGTTCAGGCCTCGAGCCTGGTGGGCGGAGCTCTGTCGGGATTGGGCGCAGCCTCCCCGATTGTCCCGCCCTCTGCTCCGCAGGATTCGAACCTGAGAGCCAGTGGGCATCACAAAGGGTGCAGGTCGGTGGCGAGGCTTCAGCTGGCGGGGGTCCCGGACAGTCCCTCCGCCGAGAGGAGGCAAGTTGGGGGCGGGGATCTAAAGGCCGCGGGCCGTCTTGGGGCTGTGCAGCCTGTGTGTCGATGTCTTCGGAGTCCGCGGGTGTGTGCGGGGGTTTGCTTCATGCACCGCGAACTCCTCACCTGAAGAGTGGATGAGGGTTCCAGGTGCAGCGCTGTCTCCCCACTCGCGACAGGCGCCGAAATCTGGGCCCCGACGCGGCTGAGAGACCCTCCCCCACAAGTCTCCTCAGCCCCGAAGTAAGGCCTTCGTGGATCCGGGCCTCGCGGGTGGGGGGCCACGCGTTGCACCCACTCCGGCCAGTTCCGGCTGAAGGCCCCCGCAGAAGTCGGCTCTGAAGGATTTTGCCCTAAAAAAGGGACCTAGGGCCGGAGGAGGACAGCTCGGCGCCTTTCCATTTCAGTGCTTTTCCAAGGTGCAGATTTGATCCCAGAGTGCTACGTCAGAACCACGGTTTTCTAGGAAAGCAAAATATTTATTTGCCAAGACCCGTGTGGCAGGTGCGAGTGTGTTGGGAAGAAATGCCTAGAAAATGCTTGCAAAAGCCGTTAAGTTCTTTATTGCAGACTAGTTTACTAGCTTTTATTACGTCTCCAGCATCTTTCAATTTTGATGCAGTCCTGTGGTTTTAATCCCCATCCAAATTCTAGGCTTTAAATGCGGACAAGATTTAAGAAAGAATTGTATTTACCTTATAAATTATTAATGGTTTTGGCTTTTTTTTTTTGGGTAACTACTTAATAATTTTTAAGGAGCCATGGGGGTGTAATGGTTAAGCTCTTGGCTTCTAACCAAAAGATTGGCAGTTTGCACTCACCAGCCGCTCTGGGGTAGAAGAGACCTGGCAGTCTGCTTCCTAAAGATTACAGCCCAGGAAACCCTGTGGAGCAGCTCTATTATGTCGCATGGGGTAACTCGGAGTCAGAATCCACTCCAGGGCAAACAACAGTATTTTTCTTTTTTCAAATAACAGCTTTACCATTGTAAGAGTCCTCACATGGTTCATTGATTTGTTCAACAAATATCATGTGCCTAAGGTGCGCCTGACCCAAACCATGGTGTTTGCATTCGTCTCATATGCATGCGAAAGCTGGACAATGAACAAGGAGGACTGAAGAAGAATTGATGCACTGGAATTACGGCGTTGGCAAAGAATATCGAATATACCATGGACTGCCAGAAGAACGAACGAATCTGTTTCGGAGGAAAGTACAGCCAGACTGCTCCTTAGAAGCAAGGATGGCGAGACTTCGTCTCACATTCTTTGGACATGTTATCAGGAAGGACCAGTCCCCAGGGAAGGACATCATGCTTGGTAAAGTAGAGGGTCAGCAACAAAAAAGGAAGACCCTGGACAAGATGGACTGACACAGTGGCTGCAGCAGTGGGCTCGAACATAGCAATGATTGTGAGGATGGCACAGAATTGGGCAACATTTAGTTGTGTTGTGCGTAGGGGTCGCCATGAGTCAGAACAGAGTCAGTGGCACCTAACATAACAGCAGCATGTGCCAGGCACTGTCCTAGCTGGGGAGGATGCAGCAGTGAACAAAGCAGACAGAAATTCTAGCCGTCTTCAAAATGGGCACTATACGTCGTCAGATAGTATTGTGTTAGATGGTAAGTGCTAAGGAACAAATTAAGAGGGGACAGGGATAGCGGGAGTGTTGGGTGGAGGTAGCAATTTTAGATGAACTGTTCAGGGTAAGTCTTCTTAAGAAGATTTGAAGAAAGACCTCAAGGATGTGAGCCTGAGGGGAAGCAGGAAGGGCCCGGTTCAGTCAGAGGGGAAAGTGCCGAGGCTGGAGCATACTAAGATTCATAGACGAAAAGCAACAAGGCCAATTTGGCTGTAATCAACCATAAAATTGGGAGATGCTGTCAGAGAGGAAAAGGAACCCTGGTGGCACAGTGGCTAAGTGCTCAGCTACTAACCGAAAGGTTGGCGGTTCAAACCCACCAGCTGCTCCGTGGGAAAAAGATGTAGCAGTCTGCTTCCATAAAGATTATAGCCTCGGAAACCCTATGGGATAGTTCTACTGTGTCTTACAGGGTTGCTGTAAGTTGGAATCGACTCGATGGCAATGGGTTGGGTCAGAGAGGAGAGGTCCCTGGGTAGTGCAAATGGTTTGTGCTCAGCTACTAATCAAAGGTTACCGGTTTGCATCCATCTAGTGGCACTGCTTTTGTAAAGTTACAGCCGTTGAATGAAAATCCTGTGGAGTGCAGTTCTACGCTGATATACACAGGGTAGTCATGAGTGGAATCAGCCTGAAGTCTGCCAGTTTGGGTTGGTTGGTTGGTTGGTTTTTGTTACAGAGGTGAAGATTCTTATAAGGACTTTGAGTTTTTACTCTTCTTAAGTTGGGCAAACATTGGAAAGTTTTGAGCAGAAGAGTGACTTGGTGTGATTTACATTTTAAAAGGATCTTTCTGCCGCTTTGAGGTGAAAATGAAGGGGGGCGGGGGGCGTGGAGGGGGTAGTAGAAGCAGGGAGACCTGGTTAGGAGGTTATACTAGTTTCCCGTTGCTGTTGTAACAAATTACCACCAATTTACTGGCTTAAACCAACGCCAGTCTATTATTCTGAAGTTCTATAGATGAGAAGTTTTCACTAGGCTAAAATCAAGGTGTCCAGCAGGGCTACTTTCCTTCTGGAGCCTCTAGGGGAGAATCCATTTTCTTGTTTTTTCCAGCTTCTAGAAAGCCACCTGCATTCCTTGGCCAGGATCCCTTCCTTCATCTTCAAAGCCAGCAGCATAGCATCTTGACATTTTTCTTTCTGACCCATGTGATTACATTGTGCTTACCTGAATAATCCTGGATAATCTTCCTATCTCAAGATCCTTGACTTAATCATACCTGTAAAGTCCCTTTTACCACGTAAGGTGATGTATTTACAAGTTTCGAGGATTAGGATGTGGATGTCTTTGGAGAACCATTGTTCTGTGTAGTGCAGAAGTATTGCAGTAGTCCAGGTGAGAGGAGACAGTGGCTCAGACCACTTCCATAGTGATGGAGGTGGTAAGCGGTGCAGCCCTGGGTGTGTTTTGAAGGTAGAGCTAACAGGATTTCCTGATGGATCAAATATGAGATGTAAGAGAAATGAATCAACCATGACTGACTGCAAAGTTGGAGGAGTAATTTACAAAGAAGATTCTGGTAATGTGAATAATCAGTGCTAATTTCTGTTTTGCAAAATTTGAATTTGTATTTTCAATTGATTTTGAGATTCCTGAGGGCAGGAATCATGGCTGGTTTTTTTTTTCTTGTTGTTGTTTTTTAATTGTGCTTTAGATGAAGGTTTATAGAGCAAATTAGTTTCTCATTAAACAGTACACATATTGTTTTGTGACACTGATTGCCAACCCCATGACGTGTCAACACTCTCCCCTTCTCAACCTTATGTTCCCCAGTACTAGCTTTCCTGTCCCCTCCTGCCTTCTCTTCCTTGTCTCTGGACGGGTGTGCCCATTTAGTCTCGTTTTGTTTATGGGCCTGTCTAATCTTTGGCTGAAGGGTGAACCTCAGGAGTGACTTCAGTACTGAGTTAAAAGGGTGTCTGGGGGCCTTACTCTCATAGTCAGCCATACTCTCAGTTTTTGCCCCTAGTTTGTTCCTGATGCCTGGTATTATGGTGGGTGTTGTTGTTAGATGCTACTGGGTTGCTTCCGACTCATGGCGACCCTGGGTACAATGGCACGAAACACTGCCTGGTCCTGCAACGTTATGGTAAAACCTGTTGCCGTTAAATCGATTCTGACTCATAGCGACCCTACAGGACAGAGTAAAACTGCCCCATAGGGTATCCAAGGAGTGACTGGTGGATTCGAACTGCCGATCTTTTGGTTAGCAGCCAAGCTCTTAACCACTGCGCCACCAGGGCTCCATAAATATTTACTGAATGAATGAAAGGACGCTAAATTGGACTTTGCGTATTACATTTTGTTATGTACAATATTGTTTGCAAAAACCCTTTTAATTGTGCTTATATATGTAAATTTCATTCATATGTGCATAAGTAAAAGTATTGCACAGCTTACATAATTCTAAATGTTTACATTAATAAATACACAGTAAAGTTTTTCCTAATGTGATGCCAATTTTGAGATTAGATTCACAGCATCACTCCTATGATGTTAACAGTGTGTCAGTATTAATATTTTTCTGGTTGCATAAAAAAAGTTGTTTTACTTACAAAAGTAGAATGTTGTTGTTGGTAGGTGTTGTTGAGTCAGTTCTGACTCATAGCGACCTGATATACAACAGAATGAAACACTGCCCAGTCCTGCACCATCCCCACAGTTGTTGCTGTGCTTGAGCCCATTGTTGCAGCCACTGTGTCAATCCATCTCATTGAGGGTCTTCCTCTTTTTCACTCACCCTCTACTTTACCAAGCATGATGTCCTTCTGCAGGGAGGGGTCCCTCCTGATAACATGTCCAAAGTAAGTGAGACAGTCTCACCATCCTTGCTTCTAAGGAGTATTCTGGCTGTACTTCTTCCAAGACAGATTTGTTCGTTCTTTTGGCAGTCCATGGTATAGTCACTATTCTTTGCCAACACCACAGTTGAAATGTATCAATTCTTCTTCAGTCTTATGTATACATTGTCCAGCTTTCGCATGCATATGAGGCAATTAAAAATATCATGGCTTGAGTCAGGCATACCTTAGTCCTCAGAATGCTTCCCTTTGAATAGAAGAAGTACTAACAATTTGGGGGAGCTGTTTCTGATGGTTCTTCAAAGAGAAATTTCACTACGCTGTGTTTTCCACAGGAATGGACCAGGTCATGTATTTATTCTCCAGCAACGTTATTGATTAGCCTGGAAAGCAAAGCAGTATGTATTTAGAACTGCATTGGATCTTTCCTGTTAAGCACATTTCTCGTAGTCATTTACATTAAAAACCCAAAACCTATTGTTGTTGAGTCGATTCCAACTCATAGCAACCCTAGAGGACAGAGTTGAGCTGCCCCATAGGGTTTCCAAGGCTGTAATCTTTATGGAAGCAGATTGCCACATCTTTCTCTTGTGGAACAGCTGGTGGGTTCAAACTACCAACCTTGCAGTTAGCAGCCCAGCACTTAACCACTACACCAGCAGTACTCCTGAGGATTAGTAGTCTCAGTTCGAATTTTATTGTCCAGCAGTTTCTACAACTTCTGCTTTATGCATTAACCTCAGTGTTGATGCATTGTCTGGATAAGCAGTTTCCTCTCACAGCATCGGAGTGTTGAAAGGAACCTTAAAGGTCTGCATCAACTTTGAACCTTTCAAACTCTTTGAACCCCGGACTTAAATTAGAGGCTTGGCCACGCTGTATTCATGTAATTCAAGATTCAGTGCCTGTTCAGGGAACTGCAGATACCTTCCTTTTTGTATTTGGATGGAAATGATGCCCCTTTATTGTTTTTGAATTTTTAAATATTATAATACTTACAAAGCTGAACTTTTAGTAGTTTTTATTTGTAACTCTAAGTATATTTAAATGTGAGCACTTCTATGTAATGTGAGACCCAGCCATTATCATCATATAGAAAATTCAGTATTTAATATTGTGTGATAATAATATTCATATGAAACCTCATTTATATATTAATTTTTTTTAAGATTTCATACTTTTTAATTGATGGTAGATCACTAATCTACTTTACGGAATATTGTTTCCCATTTGGAAGACAATTAAGAAGGTAGAAGGTTTCAGTTACGCCTAACATGATTAATCACACTCACCTTTTCATCTTTGTTTTCCTTTTGATGGATAGTGTTAAATAATGAAGTCTATTCTGTCTTATCCCCTCTCTTCTCTTTCCTTCCTAAAAAGCCTGAAAAACCTTCAGTGGTATTTTGAGCTACCTCTCTAATTCAGTTACTTTTATTATTTGTTCTTGATGGAGACTTTCTTGATTGTACCCAAATGGAACCTCCCCCCTGCCCCCCAAATGTATATAAACCAAAAAAAAAACAAAAACCCAAATCCATTGCTGTTGAGTTGATTCCAGCTTACAGCGACCCTATAGGTCAGAGCAGAACTGCCCCATAGGGTTTCCAAGGAGTGGCTGGTGGTTTCGAACTGCCAACCTCTTGGTTAGCAGCTGAGCTCTTAACCACTGCGCCACCAGGGCTCTGAAATTTATATACACACACACAAATACATAATAATATATTTTTAAAACAAACTTTCTCTGTTAATCCTAATATCAGTGAGAGATCAAGGTATAATTGTAGTATACCACTTTTAAGTGAATATATTAAGACCAAGGAGCCCTGGTGGCGCAGTTCTACTCTGTCCTGAAGGGTCGCTGTGAGTCGGAATCGACTTGACGGCAGTTAGTTTATATTAAGACAATTCCAAATCCTCTTTGGAATATTTGATTTCTGAATTTCTCTCCAGTTTACCGTGGTCTCCAGTACTTACATTTACCTCCCTTTCGTGGAGGATCTGTTGCTGTTAGTCACTGGGTATTTTTTCTTATATCCAGTCCGTCTGCTTCACCCTGCCACAGTATGTGCCTCTTCTTTCAAGGCACATGTGAGTTTTTTGATCTTTGGTATAATCTGTGATAAGGGCTCTTTTTTTTTGATTGACCAAGAAGCGAGGACGAGGTAGGGATTGGTATGGAGAAATGCTACTGAGGCGAAGACATTTTCCGAAGAAGGGAAATAACTGAATAATAGAAAAACCAGAATTTAGGATCCAACAGCAACCTTTTCTGACAGTGGTGGTGTGCCGTCTGTCATCATTGTTTCTATCTTCTGGCAGATTTGGAAACCCTGGTGGCATTCCACGACCTACAGCTGCTAACCAAAAGGTCGGCAGTTCGAATCCACCAGGTGCTCCTTGTGGGGCAGTTCTCGTCTGTCCTGTAGGGTCGCTATGAGTCGGAATCGACTCGATGGCAACGGGTTTGGCAGATTTATTTCCTTTTTATCTTCTTCCCATGTGCCTAGGTAGCAACTTCCTTGAAATTTAACTATTACCATTAAAAACCTTTTGAAAGAAAGATCCAGTGGTATCATAACTTACAGAGAAACCACAATATGTAGAGTAGAATCCTATGATAAATGAGATGACATTAAATTAATCATAAATTCAGAGGTATATATAGAAAACCTTTTAAAATAGGGCATAGTTGCAGACATAGGCAATACCGTACTGTAAGTGATCAATGTTACAGGAAGCTCTGCCCTTATAAATAAAAGCTGAGAATTTTTCTAATGAGGTTATGTTGGAAATATAAAGAAAAGAGATTCCCCTAAGAGAAGTGGTTCTTTGGGAAGCAAGTGATGAGTATTCATGGAAGATTTAGAAGGATCTCAGCCTGCCACCTGGGAAATAATGGTTCTATCACATAAGCGATAGTTATTTGCCTTCTGGCATGTAGTGTACTGCTCTGGAAGTAAGTGCTGTGTTATTACTGGATTCCGATAGTAGCATTACAATTTTTCCTATTAGCACGTTAGTGTTGTGACTCATTTGGGTCATAAAAATGACAGACTCTGAGAAAATAAAGTAGAGAAGACTTCTGAGAAGTTCATTTGTTGCTTAATGTCTTCAATGTTGATAAAAAGCAACAACAAAATGGAAAGTGATGTGCAACCCACACACACACAACCGAAACTACTATTCTGCCACCGTTAAGATGGGCTTTGGGTTTTTCATTGCCACAGTCCAGTAAACAGATAAGCACTAATAGATAACCAGCATCCCTTGGATTAGAATGCTTATTTGAACTTTCTTGTTATAATTGTTTTCTGACTTCAAGGCTTTGTTCACATCTGTCTTAGCCAGGGCTACGGCATGTTCTACGCCTCTAGATAAGAAGACAATTGGGGAAAAGAAGGAGGTGATGGGAGATGGCAAAAAGCAATGTAGAAATTTGAATTCTCTTACCAAGTTATCCTGTTACATTTAAGTAATGGTACTTGCAATCAGTAAATTAATAATGTACTTTATTATTCCCTTCTGCCTTGGCTTCTGGTATCTAGGGTAAGAAAACAAAAGCTTTCGGGAAAATTCCTTGGGTATAAGCTGGGAGTGAGGAGAGATGATTTTTTCCTTTTCTTTTAAAGTGCTTGAGTAATTTTTCTAGCATTAAGTCTCTTCTTCCTCAAAATAACTATGACTAAGACAGCCTATATGGCTACCAAAATCCAGTTTCTCACTCCTGAGAAAAGGCTGACAGTAGCACGAATGTTTCTTTAAAAAATTGCATCCAGTCTGTGTTCAAATTTTTATCTTTTTTCCTCTTTAAATTTTTTTTTCCATGTAAACATTGATGAGTAGGCAGTCTTTTTCAAGGATTGGTTTAATCTAGGACTCAATTAGGATTCCTATTGACTTATCAGTATTGAAATATTCTTTGTATAAAATGTGCTTATTCTTTTTGAAAACAAACGTATTCATATCTACATGTGTATTGTTACATTTATCTGTAATAGCTCTGAAAAGATACACAGGTAGTCCCTGACTTACCACGGGGTTCTGTTCTGATGACTGCATCATAAGTCAGTACAGACGTAAGTCAGACACCTCATTTTTTTTTTTTTTTAGATTTCATTATTATTGCCTTTTATTATCAGAATCTTTATAAATCCAATCTTCGTCTTTGGGAGTTGGCATGAGAATGATAACATCAGCAAATTATGCGCTGCAACATTGTATGTAGAACATATTACTAATGATAAAAAAACAAAAACCAAACCCATTGCCATCAAGTCGATTCTGACTCATGGTGATCCTATAGGACAGAGTAGAACTGCCCCATACAGTTTCCAAGGAGCGCCTGGTGGATTCGAACTGCCAACCTTTTGGTTAGCAGCCCTAGCTCTTAACCACTATACCACCAGGGTTTCCACTAATGATAAGATGTACAAAAATAAAATCAATGGACAGTCATAAGTGCAGTTCATTGTAACTCGGGTATGTTATAAGTCAGGGACTACCGGTATGAGAAACCAGTAAGACTGATTGCTCTAAGGGAGCACATGGGAGATGGGAATGGGATTTGGAAGGAAATACCTTATTCTATACAGTATATCCTTTTTTAAAGTTGAAATTGCCCCCTGTGTATCTATTACTTATTAAATTTAACTATTAGAAGAAAGAAAAGTTTGGTTTCAACAGCATATAATTTTAAAGACCTTCTGTTCTCTTCACAGTGATATCCTGAGAGAAGATGGGAAAGGGCTGCAAGGTTGTAGTTTGTGGATTGTTATCTGTGGGGAAAACTGCAATTTTGGAGCAGCTTCTTTATGGGAATCATACTATTGGTAAGATCTTTCTCTAGTTCCTCTCTGGGTTCTGGGAATTGACACGGGTCTTTTGTTGGCCATGCTAAACCTAAAGATGGGTGATGGTACACAAAAGCAAGATGTAATCCAGAGAGACCGAAAGGGCCATAGAAGCCGACAGAGATTGAGAAGGAAAAATAGGAGAGAAAAAAAAAATCTTGATGTTATTGAAATTCAGTAGTGATCAGTGTGTGCGTGTATATATATATATATATATATGGAGCCCTGGTGGTGCGGTTGTTAAGTGTTCCACTTATATATATGTAAAATCTTTGCATATAGGTGGTTTCCTGTACATTTACATAATGAATAGTGGTCTAGGAGTCACAGAATCACTGACCTAGAAATATACTAAATGATCTCATATTCTTATTTCAGACATGACTTTCCAATATTGCTGGGTAGATTTTAAAAAGCTACTTTCTGCAGTGTGAACTAATTTTGTGAACTGCATTATCTCATACAATGAATTAAATCATTATTGAATACTTGCTGCATGACACGGGCTGTGATTAGGCCTTGTGAGGATGCAGAGGTGAAGAAGATCACATCTCTGCCTTTAAGGAGGTCATGCTTTCCTAAGGAAGACAAGGCATTACAAGTTAGAATACAACGAGGTTTCTATTAGAGAAATAAGTAAAGAGTCATAGGCCTTTAAAGCATTCATCTTGACCAGTAGCATAGAGCACATTTCTATCGTACTTTTACGGACCATGTTGATGAGCTCTGCCTTTGCCTTTGGCTCTGATGGAGAAAAAAATGGGGCCACTTGGTTGTTGAAGCTGCTTTTAAAATCAGTCTAATTTTAATTCCCCAATTTATGTATTAAGTTCTTTGACTGTTGTACCAGTTACTTTTAAAAAATATATAATAGCAAATCTCATTGCCACATTGTTATTACTACTTTTATTTCTATATGGAAGAAATATTTTTAGAACGCACTTTGTTCATTTACTATAACAACTACCTTTCTTTCTTTTTAAAATATTGTATTTTTGGTGAAAGTATACACAACAAAACAGGTTCCCATTCAACAATTTCTACATATAATGTTCAGTGACATGGGTTACATTCTTCAGTTTGTATCAACATTCCCATTATTTCCATTCTACTTATTCTACTCCGATTAATTTTGTTTCACAGCCTCCCAAGCTTCTCATCTGCGCATTAGAGTAACTGTTGTCTATTTGGTTTCATATAGATAATTTTTTAAAAGAGCACAGTTCTCGAGGGTGTCATTTTTCACTTTTTGAGCTATTTAGTTTAAAGGTGACTTCGGGGATAGTTTTGCTTCAAGGTTTAAAGGGTATCTCAAGGTAGCAGTCTCAGGGATTCCTCCAGCCTCAGTGGGCCCAGTAAATCTGGACTCTTTAAGAATTTGAGTTTCTTTTCCACATTTTTTTCCCCTTTATATCAGGATCCATCTATTGTGTTCCTGATCCAAACATTTGGTAGTAGCAGTCGGGCACCATCTAGTTCTTTTGGTCTCAAGGTAGAGGACTCAGTGGTTCATGGAGACAGTTAGTCCTGTAGTCTGGTTCCTTCTCAGGTTCCCGGGCTTTCTTCTTTCTCTTTTGCTCCAGATGAATAGAGACCAATAGTTGCATCTTAGATGGCCACTCATAAGCTGTTAAGACCCCAGATATTACTCACCAAGCTAGGAGGTAGAAATAAACTTTAAGAACTATATTATGCCAATGACTGTATTGTCCCACAAGACCATGATCCAAAGTCTTCAAACCAAAAAAATTAATCCCATGAGGTGATTGGTAATATCTAAATAGTATCAGCAGCTATAGTCCCTTTTTATTATAATTTTTTTTGGTTGTGGTTGTTGCAAAATTATATATAATGTAGCATTTGCCAATTCATCCTTTTTCTTGTGTACAGTTTATTGGTATCAGTTAGGCTGTGCAAACTTCACCCACATTCAGTACCACCTTTCCCATCACCATAAACTACTACCTAGACTACCTGACTACTACCGAGAGAATGATTCCCCTCTTTCTCCTCCCCGTAACCACCAATGAACACTGGTCTCTGTATGTTCATCTACTCTTGTCATGTAATAAAAGTGAGATCATACAGTGTTTCTCCTTTTGTAGTTCTTATTTTGCTCAGCATAATGGCCTCCAGGTTCATCCGTGTTGCAAGATGATTTGGGAACTGATTTTTTATGGCTGAGTAGTATCTATTGCCCTGGTGGCATAGTGGTTAAGTGCTACTGCTGCTGACCAAAAGATTGGCAGTTCGAATTTACCAGACACTCCATGGAAACCCTATGGGGCAGTTCTACTCTGTCCTGTAGGGTTGCTGGGAGTCGGAATCAACTCGACAGCAGTGGGTTTTGGTATCCATTGTATGTATGTACCACATTTTGTTTATCCATTCATCCGGTGATGGGCACCTAGGTTACAACTATCTTTCATCTTGAAGATAGTAAAATAGAATTGTGATTATTATATATGGTAAATAGGGAACCTAGAAAGCCGTTTTCTAAAAAACAAGAGAGTAGTGTAACAGTTGATAGTGAGTTATCCAAAAAGAGTCATTTCTTTTTAATTGCAGGAATGGAAGATTGTGAAACAATGGAAGATGTGTATATGGCTTCAGTGGAAACTGACCGGGGAGTAAAGGAACAATTACATCTTTATGACACCAGAGGTCTACAGGAAGGTGTGGAGCTGCCAAAGCATTATTTTTCATTTGCTGATGGCTTTGTTCTTGTGTACAGTGTGAATAACCTTGAATCCTTTCAAAGAGTGGAGCTGCTAAAGAAAGAAATTGATAAGTTCAAAGACAAAAAAGAGGTAAATGGAAATGTTAAAAATGCCAAATGTGAATTGTAATACTAATTAAATGGTAGCAGGGACTTTTGGGTAGTTTAATTATTTAAAAGAATTAAATTGTATTCACAGTATCTGTAATCTTCAGAGTTTTCTTCTTAGCCCAGTAAATACAGGACTGATTAAGACCGATCAGGACCAGCATTTGACTTCTGCCTTTGCTTATTGCCATGTTGAATTTTAAGGAGTCCACATCTTGACTACTGTGCAGTTTATTTCATGTTCTTTGGGGTCACTAATTTGTAAGGATCTTTGTGGTCTCACTGGCTAAATAGAATTCTTGTCTTCAGCCTTACAGAACAGACAAACAAAAAACCAATAAGTGATACTTGGATTTTATCCTTTTAGGTAGCACTTAAAGATCCATATGCCTTACCATGGTCTATAAAGTCCTATGTAACCTGGCCCCTACTTGCCCTTTTCACGTTATCTTTTATCATTCTACTCTGCTTTCACTACACCCCAGTGACACTGGTCTACTTTGTTTTTCCAACATAATGGTTTTGTTCCCTCATTAGTCCTTCGCTGGGAGCACTCTTATCTCAGATCTTTCTCCAACTTTCTCACATGGCTGATGCTTCATCATCTAGAGAACCATGTAACATACTAGATAAGAACATTGGCTAGATGCACTTAACCTAGATGTTTACATTTTATTTATTTCAATATGCAACTTTTTATTTTGAGATAATTGTAGATTCACATGCAGTTATAAGAAATAATAGAGAGATCCTTACCCAGTTTCCCCAAGTGGTAACATCATGCAGAGCTTTAATATCACAACCAGGATATGGACATTGAAACAGACAAGATACTGAACATTTTCATCACTACAGGGATCCCTCGTTACCCTTTTATAGCCACACCTAACTTCCCTCTTACCTCACTCCTTTTTAACCTCTGGCAACCACTGATCTGTTCTCCATTCCTATAATTTTGTCACTTTGAGAATGTTATAGAAATGGAATCATACAGTAAGTAATCTTTTGGGATCAACTTTTTCCATTCTGCATAATTCCCTGGAGATTCATCCAACTTTTTGCATTGATATCAATAATATCTGCTGGCTGAAAATGATAGTAGTTCCATTTTTCTTCATATGAAGGAGGTTGAGGATCTTTTGACTTGTTTTAAAATGGCCACTTCGAATGCTTTGTTGCCAGTGGACAATTGGGGGACAAGGTGAGAAGGGGTTCAGCTGAAACACTGTTGCCCTGGGGCATCTTAACTTTCACAGGTTGGAGAGTTGAGGAGAAACCAGCAAAGGAGTCTGAGAAGAAGTGGCCACTGAGGTAGGAGGAAAACCAAGAGATAAGGGCATCCCAGAAGGCAAGTAAAGCCAGTACTCTAAAAGGAGGGAGTGGTCAAACTAAGTCAGATATTGCAGGAAGGTCGAAAATGCTAAGGACTAAGTATTGGCCAGTGCCTTTAACAACATTGAGGTCTGGACAAGAACAGCTTCAGTAAAATAGTGAGATGAAGTCTGATTGGAGTGGACATAAAAGAGAATTGAACACAGCAGACATAGCTCTTTGAAAGAGTTTTGTTGTAAAGGGGAACAGTGAGGAACTGGCCTAGGAGCTGGAGAAGAATGTGGTGTAAAAAGTGTTTTTGTTTTTTTTTTTTTTTAAGATGAGTGATAACGTTTGTGCTAATGGTAATAATTCAACAGAGAGAAAACAGATGATGTAGGTGAAGGGATACTTGCTGGAGTGACATCCTCGTCCAAGACAGAGGATGGGTTGCAGAGCAGTGTACATGGGCCTAGAAGATGGCAGGTTGTTAGATGTGGAAGGTTGTGGACGTTCTCTCCTGATTGCTTCTGTTTTCTCACTGAGACAGATGGTCATCAGGTGAGAGTAAAGTGGAGAAAGGGAGAGATGTTGGAAGTTGGAGGAGAAAGGACCAAGGTATGAGATATTGTCTAGTTATAGAGTAAATGGAGGAAATGGAGTACATTTGCTGGAGAACATCAGCCCACTTGAAGTCAGAGGTTATGAATTGGGACCTGCCAGCAGTATCGTGTATTTTTCTCTAGCCACATTCAAGTATGTAGTGTAGGCACAGGGTGGGAGTTTTGCTAGGTCAATCTGATAGGATAAAATGGTAAAGCGAGTGAATGAAAAGAAACTAAGGAAGAAGTGAGGAATTAAAGGGGGTAGAGAGACAACGATAAAGGTTGTAGAGCTATTGGGATTGTGGTGTTTTAGAATTGTTGGACTCAGAGTATTAGGTGTGAACTAGAAAGGTAGGAGGAGGTGATGGCCAGAGTGGGATGCTTGGAATTGAGATCAGGGATGGGAGTAGTTATTGTAATGACAAGGTCTAGGATGTTATCATGGTAGTGAGTGGCTGAGGTAAGGTGGATGATAAGATCGTTGTAGAGGGCACGCAACTGAGAGACCAGGGTTTTGGAAGGGTCACCTACATGGCTAGTGAAATCACTAGGAATTAAGAGTAGTGTGGGAGTGCCCATGAGCAGCACGGGAGTGTAATAAGCAGCAAGAAGGAGGGGTAGTAGGGTAGCCTAAGAGCATGAGCCTTCAGCAGGCATTTTTGGGGAAAGACATTGTTGGAGGCAGTACTGAGGGACAAGGAGGGCACTTTAACACTCCCTGCCCCCCAGCCCCAGTGGTAGTGGTAGGAGGGTAGTGGTAAGGAAAGCAAGGTTGAAAGGGCTGCAGGGCTGAGCCAACTTTTAGTGAGGCAGGAAGGTGAAGGGAATATTCAAAGCAGAGGTAGTGGGAGATACAGGAAGGTTTTTCAAGGGGGCAGAATGGAAGTTTCTGCAGTTGGGGAGGAGGGGGAGAAGGGAGTCAGACTCGGGGATGTACATGCAGATGAAAATCTGAGTGATGAAGAATGACAGGAGGGCTTGAAGGGAGAACTCCTGCTGAGGGATGGAGGAGTCCGAGAGTTGTCAAGAGAATGGGAGTTCTGGGGCCTGCTCCTCAATCCTGCAAGAAGATATGGCCTTACTTGGAGTACTGGGGAATCTAATCATTATCTGTATCCTAGATATTAATTTCCCAAATGGGTACTATTAATCGGTGAGTTAAAACTTCATCAGCTGTTAATTTGAGCATCAGCATTTTTAACAAAAATGCCTTCTGGAAAGAGGAGTGAAGTGCTAGCCTACTGTCTTACCATTCAGGTTACACTGCAGATCAGTATTGATGAAGCAGTTCGTTAAACAGGACAATTATCCTGATTTCTCCATTTTGTTTAGGACTGCCTTTGGCAAAGTATGAGTGTCTTAGTTAGCGAGTGCTGCTGTAACAGAAATACCACAAGTGGGTGACTTTAAGAAACAAATTTATTTTCTCACAGGAGGCTAGAAGTCTGAATTCAGAGTGCTGGTTCTAGGGGAAGTCCTCTGTTGGCTCGGAGGAAGGTCCTTGTCTCTTTTGAGTTTCTGTGCCTGGGCGGTCTTGGTGTGGCTTGGCATCTTCCTTCCCTCATCTCTGCTCACTTGTTTAATCTCTTTTATATCTCAAAAGAGACTGACTCAAGATACACCCTACATTAACCCTGCTTCATTAACAAAACGAAGACAATCCATTCCCAAATGACATTATAACCATAGGCACAGAAGTTAGGATTTATAACACATATTTTTGGGGGACATAATTCAACATAACATTCCAGCCTTTGGCCCCCCCAAAATTCATGTCCTTGCCACATGCAAAAACACATTCACCCCATCACATAATCCCAAAAGTTTTAAATCAACTCCAACTCCAAAATCTCATCTTCTGACTCACTTAAATCAAATATAGGTGAGACTCTAGGTGTATTCCATCCTGAGGCAAAACTCCTCTTCATCTGTGAACCTGTAAAATCTAGAATACAAGTTTTATGTTTCCAAAGTGCAATGGTAGAAGAGGCACAAGGTAGACATTTCTATTACAAATGGGAGAAATTGGAGGGAAAGAAGGGATAACAGGCTCCAAGCAAGTCCAAAACCCAGCAGAACAAATTACATTGACTCTCAAGGTTTGAAAATAATCCTGTTCTCTGAGACCATGTGGGCATTGGCCCTGCCCTCCAGACTCTAGGTGATGGCCACACCCTCTGGATTCTAGGTGGAGACCGGTCAGCCCTGGGCTTCAGCTCTGCTTCCGCCCACTGGGACAGCAACTCTGCTCCCTCAGCTTTGGGTGGCCCCATTCTCATAGCCCATTTGAGTGGCAATACCACCTTCTCAGCTCCTCGAAGGCCCTGTTCTTCTGCCCCTTGGGCATGACGGCCCCATCCCTCTGGCACACCTCAACAGCGGCCTCACACTCCAGAAGCTCCAACTCTCTGAAACCTAGGAGGCTGTGGCACCACCCTTTTGAAATCCAGAGGCCTTGGCCCCACCCTTTGAGACTGAGGCAGCTGCTTCCCCTGCTCCTTCCAATAGTTCTGCTGATCTCTGAGCTGCTCCAGGGATGGTTCTTTTCTTGGAGGACAACAGATGTAGCTCCTTTGGCTTGTTTTCTGCCTGTAGAATTCCAAGAGGCAGACAGCATTCCCTCTTTCTGTTCCTTCTCTGTCCCCTTCAGTCTAAGTTGATGAGTTTTATGCTGTGGTAGTTGGTTAGATCCACCAGTCACAGGTTTGTGTAGCCATGTCCTTGGTGAACATTCTAGGACACGTGTCCTTAGTTTGTACAACAAAATTTTCCAAATCTTTTAAGTTCTGTTTTCATTTTGCACAGTTCATTCTGAAGTCCATCTCTTTCCTCTCACATCTTATAACCAGCCTCTTTAGATCTTTAGAATCTTCTCAGCCAGATATTCATCACTTATAAATTCTATCTTCCACCAAACATTTGAACACAATTCAGGCAAGTTCTTTGCCGTTGCATAAAAAGTATCGCTGTCTTCCTCCATTGCCCAATCACATGTTCATCATTTTCTTTTAAAGCCTCACCAGATGCACATTTAATGCCCACATTTCTAGCAACATTTCTTTGCTGGCACCATATGTATTCTCTAAGATGATAGAGACTTCCTCTATACTTTCCCCACTTCCTTCTGCGCCCTCATCAGAATCACCTTTGACATCCATAATTCTACCAGCAATCTCTTCTGGGTAATCTAGGCTTTTACTATTCGGCACCTTAACTTTTCCAGCCTCTACCCATTACCCACTTCCATAACCACTTCCACTTATGAGGTGTTTGTTAGAGCAGCACCCTTACTTCTCGGTACCAAATTCTTTGTTGTCTAGTGCTGCTATAACAGAAATACCACAAGTGGGTAGCTTTAAGAAACAAATTTATTTCCTTGGTTTAGGTGGCTAGAAGTCTGAATTCAGGGTGCCAGCTCTAGGGGAAGGCTTTTCCTGTGGACTTGGAGGAAGGTCCTTGTCTCTTTGAGCTTCTGCTGCTGGGTGATCTTTATGTGGCTTGGCACGTCCTTTTCCCCGTCTCTGCTTTGCTCGCTGTTTAATCTTTTTTATATCTCAAAAGATACACCCTACACTAACCCTGCCTCAGTAACAAAACAAAGACAACCCATTCCCAAATGGGATTATAACCACAGGCATAGAGGTTAGGATTTATGACACGTATTTTGGGGGGCCGTAATTCAGTCTGTAACAATGAGAATGATCTTCTTAATCCATTTTCTTTCAGGTAGCAATTGTTGTGCTAGGAAACAAACTCGACCTTTCCGAGCAGAGACAAGTGGATGCTGAAGTGGCACAGCAATGGGCAAAAAGTGAGAAAGTGAGGCTGTGGGAGGTAACTGTTACTGATCGGAAAACTCTGATCGAACCCTTCACTTTATTAGCCAGTAAACTCACCCAACCTCAGAGCAAATCGAGCTTTCCTTTGCCTGGCAGGAAAAACAAAGGGAACTCTAGCTCTGAGAACTAAAAATCATTAATTCCACAACTGCTTATTAGTGATTACCTTTAAGTGTCTGTGAACATGGTTAAGATAATATTTAAAACCCCTAAGGAAGTAATTAAGCACTTTAGGTTACACTTAAAAGATCTGGCCTATGTTTATTATTATTGCCTGATATGAAAAATTTTTCTCATTCCCATTCTTTGAAACCTGTTCCTGAAATTAGCGCCTTTGTTATTTACATTTACATTATACTTGTCAAAACACTAAAATAAAGTTTGGGTGGTATACAGATACACCTAGGTGTAACTTTTTCCTTGTTTCATAAACTGTCATCCTAATTCTGTCTCAGCTCAAACAAAACTTTGTTTCTAAAGTTCACTAATCATCTAATGTCTAGGGTTACAAAACATAACATTTCTTGTGCATCTGTATTGGATCAACAGTAAATAATCTGGGCACTAAGTAAGCTGAACTTTCTCTTGTTGAGACTTTGCAAAATGGAACAAACCCCATAATTTAACTTACCTCAAATTGTATGTTTAACGTGACTTGGGATAGGCAGTAAGTAGATTCATCACTCAAAGACTTTTTTTTCCTTCTGCTGGACCCCGGTTGATATACCAAATATTAGAGGGCAAAACTGTTTTGTCCTTCTTTTGAAAATGGCTCAGAACTTAAGGACAACAAAGCTTCCATTTTCCAGAAGGAATACTATACTTTCTGAAATAGTTTTCTGGATACCTAGCCATTCGGAATAAAATGTATCATAAAAATATAAGGCTACAGGTAGCCTTAAAGTTAGATAACTGGTTTTCTGAAGATTTCGGCAGGATGTGAGCAATGGGGTAATTGTAGTTAGAAAGCTGACAGTATTATAACTAATTTAAAAAGTAGGAAGCAAGCTACTTATGGTTTCAGCTATGAAAGCAGTTAACTATTTGATTTAAACAAAATATGAAATAAGCTATTCAGCGAAGAACATGTTAAAACATCTAGTAAATTGTCACATCTTAGAGTATTTTTAATATGCTCAGGTGGCTCAGTTCGGTGAATTCGAGCCAAGAATTACTGCATATATAGAAGGCATGACAGTTACAAATCAGCTAGTGCTACGACCGTATAAGTTTATTTTTCATCAAAAAAAAAATCATCACTTGGATAAGTCACCTTCTGCCTTCTACCCCAGTTATCGAGTATTGATCATTCTAACTTCTTCCTATGCATTGTACATTCGTGGATAAACATTGTTAAGATTATTTTAAATAAATGATATGCTAGATCACCCTGCAGTTTGCTCTTTCCTACTGAATACAACTAAAATCTAAGTTAGTATACATAGAATTACCATATTCTTTCTAAATGCTGTCAGCTTAGGTGTGTCTTCATCCTGTGCACCTGGGTTTTTCGGGGGGGAGATACAGAGAAGTAGAGCTGCCGGTGTGTAAAGTATGTACACCTAGGTACTGCCAAAGTACCCTCTGATGTGGTTGTACCAGCTGATCTATCCTCTAGCTGCAGCGGAGACCTGTCTCCCCACGTACTTGCCACCACAGCATCTGCAAGTTAGGAAGTCCTTTTAAAACGATAGAGCTCATCTTTGAAAGATGATAGGTTAGGTTATATAACCTTTTCTAAGACATTTCGAACTCTACCCTGCAAGGGTGTTATATAAATTAGAGTAACGTACCAATCCTAACATAAGTGCTTGGTAAATGATACCTATTTATATTAAGTCTGCAATTACTTCTAGGCTATTTTAATAGTAAAGATCAATCAATTTTAGAAGAAAGAATCTGCAGACTGCAATCAACATGCAAAAGAGAGTAAACGAACACAACGGCATGGGTGGTGGTTTTTAATATTGTTTATTAGCACAGTAACAAATGCAGACTTAAGTAGTCCACAACATATAACCAATCCACTGAGCGACTCCTGTTCCACGCCTTCCAGTTAACAGCTTAAGGTATTTCACTACAGGTTTTCACAAGTCCTGATTCAAACCTTTAATCTTTTCACAATAAAGTAGATTGGCATATAAAATAAAATACATTAACTACTCATTTCCTATATGGTATCTTACAGCCACGTGTCCATTTTATATATATGAGATGACAGTCTCTAAAAACTCTGTTAAATATCAGTGTTCCCTCCCGAGGAGGAAAAACAAATTCCAAATTTTCTTTAATAAACAAAAAAGTGTGTTGTCTTGGAAGGACTTTACATAAATGGCCATGTGTATAACCTGTACAAAATTAAGCTGTTTTAAATTTACATACTACTAGCAACTGAACCCAAATGTCTAAATGTACATTCTTCTCTGTACTACATTTCAGCTAATATTGCAGAACTAATGACAGTTTTAAAAGTTGCTATTACCAATTCTGTCTACTGTAGCAAGATACCTTAAGTTACAACAAAATCTTAGGAAATAAGACTGAATAATATCTGTTATAGAAATACCCTACTCTTTACCAACTCCCACCCTCCCCCAACCCTTCAAAATCATAAGCAGCTCTCTTCTGTGACAGACAAATAACGTAAGAATTGTGAAAACCCAATTTATGTAGCGTATCTCTTGGTCCACTGTCTGGCCATTCTGTCATGTTCTGCTCTGTTGGTCATATACTGAGTGGCAATACTTCCCACCAAAGGGTCGGCTGGAAGAAAAGAGTGGACATTACTTATCCAGAAGGAAAAGAGTATTTTCAACTTTAGCAAATCAATTAGTGACAACTTGAGTGGAAATATGCAACAAAGTATTTGTGATCAAACTCATCTATGAAACCAAAAAAGAAAAAAACAACAAACCCCCCCTTGTTGTCAAGTCAATTCTGACTCATGGTTACCCATGTGTTACAAAGAACTGCTCCGTAAGGAAGGTTTCCTTAACTGTAATTTTTATGGAAGCAGATCACCAGGCCTTCCTTCCACAGTGCCACTGGGTTGGTTTTAACTGCCAACCTTTAGCAAGCAGTCCAGGGCAAAGCGTCTACGCCACCCAGGAACCTTATCTTGGAACGCCACCCCACTATTCTGGGTATTTTTCCTTCTAGGTTTTAAACAACATAGCATGGATGGGGGAAGAGTTCTTACCAAAGTAGAATGCTGAGGCTTTAGTCCTGGTCTGGCTTCATCTCCTTGGTTCATTCCATTTCTCTCCCAACAAACTACACCCAAATGGAGTTTTTTTGCTCTTACGTGTTAAGTTCAATAGAGACTGGCATGTTCAAGGCTCCAGGCTACAATGAACACCCACTATGTTCATATGACCTTTCACTCAATGCCACCAATTATGGCACTGTGATAATACTGTGAAGTCCTTGGGGCTATTGCAATGTACACTATTTACCTCTACACTGTTTACTTAGAGCCAGGTTGCCAGGTCAAAACCTGGACCTCCAATTAGTACAGTGTTGCTCTGAAACGTAAATAGAACCTTTATAAGCAAAACAAGTTATTTTTCAGATGAGGAAGAATAAGCAAGCTAAAGAATTATTAACCTTACCAGGATTACAGTCTGTAAGAAGTGAGCAGATAGAAAGGAGGACTTTGGAAATAGTTAGTGCTGGACTCCAGTTATCTTTCAATATGTCCAAGCAAATAACTCCTTGACTGTTAATATTACAGTGGTAGATTCTTGTCCGAAATGTAACCTGAAAAAATAAGGTAGTGTTAACTATTTAAACAGCAAACAATGAAATGCTTTACACTAAATTACCTTCTCAACTGAGTGGCCCTAATTTAAAACAACAAAAACAAAACCTGATTATTTTGTTTTTAAGAAGGGAAATGAAGTTGCAGTTTTAACATTGGGTTTAACTTATTTAAGCATTGAATTTAACAAGACAGGTTAAGAGACTGTTTAATAAATTTGAGATTATAATTTCACCTCAATTCTAATCTCAGGGATGGTCAATTTTATTTTAAAAGTGATATCCATCGACAGACTGCAAGGTAAGCACAGTACTTCTCAAATTCATCTTTTACAGTTTTAATGTTTTAAATCTTTTCCTAACATTTCCAGGTTTGAATAGCTGTTTGCTGACCTCTTGTGTTAACTGGTAGTACTACACTGCCTTGAAGCTTTGGAATCATAAATTCAAACTAAGGTACAACATAATCCGCTGCTGTTGTGTCGATTCCAACTCATAGCGACCCTAAGTGACAGAATAGAACTGCCCCATAGAGTTTCCAAGGAGTGGCTGGTGGATTCGAACTGCTGATGATACAGTTAAAACAAAATGCTGATTTAGCAAACAGTGACCACGTACCCAAAAAGCTGTTAAAAAAAAAAAAAAAAAAAATGAAGGTGAGATCTGTTTCCACTTCTTCTGACCCTTACATCAGATCCCATGCCATCCTATCCAAGAATTTACCACACCGGAGTCTCCATGAGTGGGGAGCCAGTGATCGGTAAGGACCACACGATCAACATATCAAGCCAGGCCACACGAGCGTGGGTTATTTCATTTGGTCTCCTAACTTTTTATTTATAGGGCACACTGAAACACACTAAGGTAAAAAATCACCTCCAAGTCTGCCGCTTTTTAAAATGACCGACTTCTTTGTTGTTGTAGTTTGAAAGTTTACAATTCAAGATAGTCTCTCATACAAAAATTCTTCTCATTGTTATGTGACCCTAATGGCTCTCCCTATACTATGACAGCACACTCCTCCTTTCCACCCCTGATTTCCCGTGTCCATTCAACCAGCTCCTGACTCTCTCTGCCTTCTCATCTCGCCTCTGGACAGAAGCTGCTCGTTTAGTCTCTTGTATCTACTTGAGCTAAGAAGCACATTCTTCACGAGTATCATTTTATGTCCCACAGTCCAGTCCAATCTTCGTCTGAAGAGTCAGCCTCGGGAACTGTTTTAGTTCTGGGTTGAAAGAGAGTCTGGTGGCCTTGCTTTCTGGGGTTCCTCCAGTCTCAGACCATTAAGTCTGGTAAAATGACCAACTTTTAATTACTTCTTGCTGCTGTACTTGTACCTGTATCTGGCAGTCTAGCCATCCCCCAGAGGTTTTCCTTCTGACAGTGTGAATGAGAATCACGGACTGTTGCATCTGATTTGGGCAATGTCCGCCTATCCCAGATGGGAAAAGCAAGACCTGGAGATAAGGATTTGAATAAGAGCCAAAGATGACGAGAGACAGAATCCAAGGCTTTGGTAGGAGATTCTGATTCTCTAATTGCTTTAAAACCCAAACCAAACCCATTTCCATCAAGTTGATTCTGACTCACAGGGACCCTACAGGACAGGGTAGAACTGCCCCATAGGGTTTCCAAGGCTGTAATCTTTTACGGAAGCAAACCGCCACATCTTTCTTCCATGGAGCGGCTGGTGGGTTCGAGCTGCCGACCTTATGGTTAGCAGCTGAGTGCTTAACCACTGCACCACCGGGGCTCCTTCCTAACTGCTTCTGTGCATGGACATTCTGACACCATTTTTAGCTGTTCATAAACTTTTTTCCCGTAGGGTAGAAAAGAGGGAATGAATTTTGGATTGCTGACCATGTTACTATAAATAGCATGACTTTAAAGACCATCAAAACAAAGCCCTTACACCTTTGAAATTATTGTTATATCTGCCACCACCTCTATTATTAACTATTTAAATGTTTTTCAGATTTACACACTCTTAAAAGCTTAAATGCATTTACCACAAAATGAAATTATACATCACTACCCTAATTGGAAAGCCAGCACTGTTGGCTGTAAGTGGAAGGTACCAGTAAACTACTTACCACACAGAAGCAGCTCATGCCCCACTACCAGGAAGCTGATCCCCTTAGGAAACAATGATTTCTAGCCTGGTTGATCCATACAAGTGGAAACAGGCTCAGAAGCGGGGGATGAAGAGGGGTGAGAGTAGGGGTGGACAAGACAGAGGTGGAACCAGGGCTCAGACCCTGGTCTGGGAACTCCAGTCAGGTACAAACACATCCAACTGCCTCAGGGCCATTAAGAAAGGGCCATTAAAAAAGCCAGTTGCCATGAAGTCAGTTCCAACTCAGGGTGACCCCCTGCGTTACAGAGTAAGAAAAGGGGGAAGAAACCAACAACAAAGCATTTACCTCTAGAACTGGGCTCTCAAATGAGGCAGAGCCAACCCAAAGGAGTGTTCTGTGTATATTCAAATGTAATCAGATTCGTTAGCACATAACAGAAATCTGCTAGTATTTGTGATTAAAAACTCAATTAAAAAAACCTCAATAGTCTCTCTCTTATGGGAATTAGTAAATTTTAGCATAAACCAGGGGAATTTCTTACCTTTGGAGGCTTGAAGGGATATTCTGGTGTAAAAGTGATATCGAGGAAGAATACACCACCCTCATACACAGATCCTGGAGGCCCTAGAATGGTTGATCTCCACTCATAGATGTTATCGCCTTTAGGACCAGCACTGTGAAATAATACATCAACAGATAAGCAGATGTTGGCACCATTCCAGCTTTTACAGTGTATCAAAAAAAGAAAAAGGGAAGGATCGCTTCTCTCCTGTGTTACTGTGTGGATGTATCTGTCAGGCAGATTCTAATGAAGGCAGGACTGCAACACCCATCAGCCTTTAGTCAAGTACACTGGATGATGAAAACATTAAAACCATTCTAAGCCTTCGTAGCTGTGAATAAGCAAGAAACATTTCAATTCTCAAATCTCTCCTTTACACATCATAAGAAAAGGTAAACAGTACTTTAAAAAGAG